CATTATATGTCTACTAGAGGCCCGGTACACGAATTCGTGCATAGGTGGAGTCCCTCCTGGCTGATCAGGACTGTCTTGCTCAGTCCCAATTGGGGCCGATTGGGGTTGGGGGGAGGGACTGTGGGAAGTTGGCCGGCCTGGGGGAGAGACCGCAGGAGGTTGGCCAGCTGTGGGAGGTTGGCTGTGGGAGCTCACTGACCACCAGGGAACAGCTCCTGTATTGAGTGTCTGCCCCCTGGTGGTTAGTGCACATCATAGCTACCAGCTAGTTGTCTAATTGTCTGGTCATCAGGTCATAACGGTCACTTAGGCTTTTATATATATAGATTTTTCTCTTTTTGTTAAGAACAGCAAAGGATCTTAGGTCTCACCCTGCCTGAAGATAACAAATTAGCTTACTACCTCCATGGATACTGGCAGAATGTATGAGACTCCTGGGTCAGAGATGAAAGACTTTATTACTCATAGCAAGCAGGATGAGTTCCATATTTGCATTGGTTCTCTTTGCAACCCAAGTTTCACCTGGGCAATGTGACCTCCATAGATGATGTGCATGCAGTGATCTGTATTACAACTGAGGAACCCAGAGTTAAGGGAACCTAAATCTTTTATAATAGGTCAGAAGTCAACCTCTGACCTTTGCTCTCAAGGGAGATATTATTATTATTTAATGATCTTAAATATAATATTGCATGCAACATGGGAGATACTATTTTTATTATACCAGTCAATAAAGAGACTTGCAGTTTGTGTCTGAGGGAGACATTAGCTGTATATATGCTGCTTGCCATGCAAACATCTTTGAAAGGATAGTTTAAAACAAAAGCTCATTTTAAAATTTTACTTTTCTCAATTTATTGTTAAACTTTATTTTTAAAATTCTAGTATATTTTTCTGTCATTTACACACATATATGCATATATAATAGGCTTACAAAGTAAGAATTTTACCATATGCGTAATTGTGTACTCTACATTTTAACATCCTAAAGTATTGTGTATTTTACCTAGTATTCTTTTTCCAGCTTTGTTTTATAGTAGAGGCCCAATGCACAAAATTTGTGCAGGGGCCTTGGCCCTGGCCCCCACCCGCTGTGGCTTTGTCCGGAAGAACGTCCGATCTAATTAGCATATTATGCTTTTATTATTATAGATAATATAATTGACATATAACATTGCGTAAGTTTAAGGTACACAGTGTGTTGATTTGATACGCTTATGTACTGCAAAATGATTACTCCAAATGGTTAGCTAACATCTGCACCATATCACAGAATTGCCAGGACTCAACTTCCTTCTTAATCAACTTAGATTCCTTTCTTCATAAATGTAATTACTACATTGCGTTTACTGTCTTCAACTTCCCCGTCATTTTCATTTATTTTAAGTGGTTGAGAAAACCTTAGTTCTACTTTAATGCAAATCTCTATCCACCCATGCAGCTAAATGAATGTGGCTGCAAAAAACCCACCAATACACTGTGTCTCATTTTAAATCCAGGGGTAACTATTTTCAAATGACTTTTCGGTATTTTTCAAATCTCATATTAAATCCATTAGCGTATTCTATTTACCTTTTATCCTGAACATATTTTGAGAGTCTGCCCCACTTTTTACTATCTCTGTTGCTACCACTCTTGTCCTAAGTAACATTCTCTCTCAGATTATAGCCCCCTCAGTGGCTTCTCTGCTTTACATTTGACCCTCTATAGTTTATTCCAAAAGAAAGAGCCCAGAGTCTTTTAAAATGTGAGTCAGATTATAACTTTTCCCCCTCACAACCCTCCAGTAACTTCCCATCTCTCTTAGAGTGGTCGACACACACTGCACAATATGGCCCTGGCTTTTTAAACCTCATTTCACGCTATTTCCCTCCCTTGCCAACTGATTTTAGCCACTCTGGCCTCCTGGCTTTTCCTTGAGTATGCTAAGATAATCTTCATTAGGACCTTTGCACTTCATTTTCCTCTGCTTGGAAGACTTTCTCCCAGATATTCTTGGTTCTTAGCCTTCTTTAGGTTTTTTACCTAGCTGTTTAAAATACCCCTGCCCCTTATGTACCCTTTATCTTTCTTCATAAAATCTATCAGCATTTGTCATACTATAGAATATACTTGTTGGTCCTTTCCCCTTCATTAAAATGTAAGCTCATTGTTAAATCTGCAGCATCCAGGACAGTGCCTGACACTCAGATATTTGTTGAATGAATGAATGAATCATCAGTAAAGTTTTACATTGAAATTGTTAAGCATGATGTAATATGGTTGAGGTAAAAGAAATGGCATATACACTGAGTGGCCAGATTATTATGACCACCTGATGTTTGTAGACAAATTAGCTATAATTTCGTGCTGAAGTTGCCAGAGGACCAGACCATTATAAATAGGGAAACAGGTTGTTTACCACGACAGTAGAAGTGATTTTTTTTCTGAAGATATGGGTAAACAACGTAATTTAACAGCCTTTGAATGTGGGATGGATATATATATATATATAATGACAACCTGTTTCCCTATTTATAATGGTCTGGCCCTCTAGCAACTTCAGCTCGAAATTACAGCCAATTTGTCTACAAACGTCTGGCCACTCAGTGTATACAATATTAATGCCTTTGTCCTTCATATTGTTTAGATGTTGGAAGGATATATGCCAAAATGTTAATAGTAGTTGTCCTTAGTTAATGGCATTTTAAATTTCATTTTCGTAATTGTTTTTCTGAATATTTGGGAAGTGAGCATATATTACTGTTATTAGGGTGGCTTGGTTGGTTGGAGTGTCATCCTTTACACCAAAAGATTGTGGGTTTGATTCCTGGTCTGGGCTCCTGCAGGAGGCAACCTATCAATATTTCTTTCTTTCTTTCCTCCTCCTGCTCCTCCTCCTCCTGCTCCTCCTCCTCCTCCCCCTTCTCCTCTCTCTCTCCCTCCCTCTCCAGTCCCTTCTTTCTTTCTAAAATCAATAAAAAAACATATTCTCAGGTGAGGATAAAAAATATATATATGTATATACACATATATATAACACCTTGAAAAATGATGTGCTTTACTGAAGGACATAAAGGAAGTTAAATCATGTAGCAGTAAGTGTTATCACATGTATGATAGGTGGATACTGGATAATAATTTTAAGAATATTCTTAAAAATAGAAGAAAAGAAAGATTTTATTAGTACTGTAGTAAATGAACCCTCTTAATGTTAAATTCTAAGACAACAAAAGGAAACTTTGTAGTGAAGTTGTGTGTTTTTTTAATTTCTGCTGTCTCATTTGTCAGAATCTCAGTCATTTAAAATAACTTTGATATCCTTAATGGTCTTCTACGTTCATATACTGGGGATGACTTTTTGAGAAATGATTGTATCTTTTTCATCTGTGGGTTCTTACTACCTAGCACAGTACTTGGTATATAATAGGTACTCAATAAATGCTCCCCCATACCCCTCCCCATCCCACAATTGATCAGTGACATACTGGTCTTCTATTGCTATCTTCATTAGGAAAACTTTGGCTTGGATAGTAAATTACCCAATGCTATAGATAACTTATGTGATAGTTGGGGAGTTGTAGGGAAGGATGGAGGGAGAGAAAAAAAGAAAAAGAAAAACGTTGAACAGTGATAGATGGTTCCATTTGAAAAAATAAGTACACACACACACAAAATGACAAACTTGCTTTTAAAAAAAATTGGTAGTTACTCAGGGGGATTTTTCCTAATGTCAGGATTTGTTCTTACTCTTGTTGAATTAGGAAAGTATTTTAGCTTTAATATTATGATAACCTAGATATATAAATGTCAGTGCTAATAGCTTAGTATTTTAGTCTTGTATAAATTGATGCCTGTGGTATCTGGACATTTTTTGGCCTTTTTTTTGTAAATAAGGTCTTAGTGATGTTTAAGGAATAGCAACTTGTGGTCATAAAAGAAAAACTCCATATTATTCAAGCTAAGCAATATAAATGGGACTCAGAATCCCTGACTAAATAAAAAATCTCCTAGAGAAAAATCTCTTGAGCCTACAAACTAAAGACCTTCAATATAATTTTAAATAAAACCTTTTATGTAAAATGAGAGTACTTTTTAGTTGATAATCAATTGACACTATTATGTAGGCTCACTAGATTTGCAAATTTACAAGTTTTTACAAGTCAGTTGGGTCCCTTCCTCAGGAAATCAGTTTAACTTTTTCCCTCCTATATTGACTCAAAGAACCCAGTTGTCCTTAAATCCTGTGAATATATTTGCCTTATAATTTGACGGCATTGAGTCAACACCCTTATAGGGTTTCTAGTGTTGTAAAGAGAGAAACTGTTCAATAAAGGGTCACATTTGAAAAAATAGACTGTGCCAGATGAAACCGGTATTGGATATGAATACTGTGCTTTGCTTTAAAGAACCTACAAGTATTCAAGGACATAAATGCTTACCCCTTACTTTCGAAATGCATACTTTAGGTTTGGAAAGTAGCTGAGCTGTCTCCTTGTAAAATTAAACCATGGCTTTAAATAAATTAAATACACTATGAAATATTGATATCTTTTAGTAGAAAATTAATTACATATTTATTGAATGTTAATATTTATAAAACTTGCAGAACTATTCTAATTATTAAAGTAATTAAACTGTTTCAATTAAATATGAATCTTTCAATTAATCTCTGTTCAAACATATTATACGAAGGAAATCTTTTTTGAGTATCATCAATGTTCCAGAAGCTATATAGAGAATAAGAATGATAGCTTTCATTTTTTGAGCACTTATCAGGTACTGGACATTTGCACTATACATGGATTAATTCTCAAACACTCCATATAAGGTAGGTATATGTGTTATTCTTAGTTTTTATGTTTAGAGACCGAGGCATAAAAAAGTTAAGGAAATTGCCTAAGATTACGCAGTTAGTGCCTAAGCTGGGATATAATACTGGAAGATAAGTCAAACTTAAACATGTTAAAGTATGTTGATTGACTCTAATATTTTTTTTCTGTTTCTGTTCACCTTTCTAGTTGATTTGGAGCATATGCGAACAGTAAAACCTGAAAAACACTTGAGGTTTTGCCAGGAAAACGGTTTTAGTAGCCACTTTGTCTCAGCAAAGACAGGAGACTCTGTAAGTAACAATGAAAATGGATCTTATGAGTGAGATTTTACATTTATTTATTAATATTCATAGGAATGATTTCCATTATTTTTTGCAACAAATTAATGCTTATTGAAGATATAAAATAGACTAGATTAGATGTAACATGTTTATTCTGTTTATATTACTTTTGTAATTCATTTAACGTAAGTTTATGGTTGTTTAAGAGTTTAAAAAGAATATAAATCCCCATAATTTCAGCATTCAGAGATGACTGCTAATCTCATACGATGATTCATTCCTTCTAGTCTTCTTTTTCTGATCCTCACAAATATTAGTGCTCCTGCCAGCAGTTTGCATTTGCCGAGTGCCCACTTTGTGTATTTCTTTTTCTAAACTTACTTCCTTAGTGACCTCATCTAGTCTCGTGGCTTTGATCAGACTCAATGTTCAACTGTCCACCCTAGACCTCTGCTGAGATGTCTGATAGGTAGTCCAAGTTTAATTCAGGTCCATTCTGAGCTGTTGGTATTCCCTCTTCAAATCTCTCACACTCTTCCCACTTCAGTAAATGGCAGTTCTATCAATTACTAAATCCAAAATTATATTGGAGTTATCCTTGAACCCTCCTTTCTTTACACCTCAAGTCCTCTTGGCTCTACTTTCAAAATATGTCCAGAACCTGGTGGTTATTTCTTATATTTACACTGCTACCACTTTGTTTCAAGCCCCCATCATCTCTGACATTATTATCTTCGCTGGTTTCTTTTTTGTACCCTTGATCTTCTCTAGTGAGTACTTAGTACAGCAGCCGGGTTGAACCTATCAAAATAGAAGTTACAACAAGCCACTGTCCCAGGGTTTCCATTTTACTCAGAGTAAAAGCCACAGCCCTTCTGATAGCCTCCCAGATCTTACATGATTTGTAATCTCTGCTTATTTTCTTGTACAGTCCATCTCCTCTCCATTCTACCACACTAACTTTCCTGTTTTTCCTTAAACATTGACTATCAGTGAACTATAATATATATTACTTTTTGAGGTGCAAGTGACATAAACCTTTCGGAGTATGTATCTCTTTTTGATTAGAAATCAAAATTAGATTAATAAAATTGTGATAAATATTCAGTAAGTAATCATTAGGTAAGTAGGGATAAGAAAATGATAGTACACTTATGAAGCAAAGACAAGTTATACCTTACAGGTGAACTCTGGATTGGAGTGTTAGAAATCATAACGTAAGCTAACAGTGTATGAAAAGTTTGTTTATAGAGAAGTGTTTGTAGACTTTTGCTTATTGATAATGGAGTATACTGCTCCTTCACTCTGAACTGATAAAATACAGTAGGGATTTCTAAGTTGTTCTGCTCAAAAGATGTGGAGAGTTCATTGACTTGAGAGCAGCAAAGATTTTTAAGGTATAGACTAAAGCCAGGTCAAAAGACCAATTTAAAGTTGGCAGTGAAAAACCCAGGTAGTATACTGTATTCTCATTTTCTTCAGCACCTGTAGGTGTTTGTTTTGCTAGTATTTTTTGAATGTGGTCACTGTAATCGTCTTATGTTAAATCTTTAAAATGTAAGTTTTTAGGGATTTATATTTAGATCAATTTACTGAATTTTATGAATTTTTTCAATTTATAGGTTTAACGACTTAAAAGTTTATTACATTTAAAATTTTGTTGTCTCTGACAAATAAAGCTATTTTTGGAATAACCTGGTGCATCATATTTTGTAATTCTTGCTATTTATCATTGTTTAGAAAGTTCAGTTTATTTGAAGGTAACTTAAGCATGCCTGTTTTAAATCATTTAAACCTATTTTTGGTATGTAGGTATTCCTGTGTTTTCAGAAAGTTGCTGCTGAAATCCTTGGAATCAAATTAAACAAAGCAGAAATAGAACAGTCACAGGTGATTATATTGAACTTTATATTTAAAGAGTAATTTATTTCTTTTTAGTAGTTGGAATAATTAAGTTCTAGTCTCTTCGTGGGTTTGATGATTATTCACTGTACTGCACATTATATCTCTGGCTTTCCTACTTTAGTGTAAGTTTGTACCCTTAACCGTATCTACCCTGTCCTCCCGCCCCTCATTCCCAGGTAACACCATTTTATTCTCTGTTTTTACAAGTTTGGCTTTCTAAAGTTTCACATAAAAGTGATATCCTGCGGTATTTATCTTTCTCTGTGTGACTTACTTCACTTAGCATAATATACTTAAGTTCATTCATGCTGTTGCAAGTGGCTGAATGTCCTCCTTTCTCATGGCTGAATAATATTCCTGTGTGTGTGTGTGTGTGTGTGTGTGTGTGTGTGTGTGTGTGTGTGTGTTTACCACATTTTATTTATCCATTCATTTGTTGTGGGATGGTAAGGTTGTTTCCATATCTTGGCTGTTGTAAAAAACACTGTGATGAACATTGTGGTACATATATCTTTCTGAATTAGTGTTTTTTTAAAAATATATTTTATTCATTTTTTACAGAGAGGAAGGGAGAGAGATAGAGAGTCAGAAACATCGATGAGAGAGAGACATCGATCAGCCGCCTCCTGCACATGCCCCACTGGGGATGTGCCCGCAACCCAGGTACATGCCCTTGACCAGAATCGAACCTGGGACCTTTCAGTACACAGGCCGATGCTCTATCCACTGAGCCAAACCGGTTTCGGCTAGTGTTTTCTCTTTTTTTGGACAAATATCCAGGAATGGAACTGTTGGATCATATGATAGTTCAATTTTTAGAGGAACCTCCATCGTGTTTTTTATAGTGGCTGTACCATTTACATTCTTACCAACAGTGCACAAGGGTTCTCTTTTCTGCACATCCTCGCCAGGACATCTCTTGAGTTCCTGATGATAGCCATTGTGTGAAGTGATAGCTCATTGTGGTGTCAATTTACATTTCCCTGATGATTAGTGATGCTGAACATCTTTTTCATGTGTTTGTTGGCCATTTGGATGTAAAGGACTAGGGGGGAAAAAGACAAAGAAGTTCAGGTTTTATATTTTTTGTTTATATATACAAGGTGTATATTAAAACCCAAAATATATATGGAAAAAGAGGAAGGAGAGAAGGAAGAAGGAAATATATATGGAAAAGGAGGGAAGGAGAGAAGGAGGAAGGAAAAGGAGGAGGGAGAGAATGGAGGGAGGGCGGGCAGGGGAGAGAGAGAGGGGGAGAGAGAGAGAGAGATGTGAATGGTTTCTGTGGGTTTTATGCCATTTAAAAGATACCTGAGGGGATTTGGTGTAATGTTTGAAAGTGTTTTTATTCATTTTATAGGAATTGGTAGACTCACTGAGTCACGTGGAAATTGATGCTACAGTAATTTAGTTTGTGACAAATATTTGTAATAAGGCTGTAGTCTTAACTTCATTCACTGATTTATTGAAAGAGATTCTGTTATTTTAGTTCTAACCGAGATCATTACTGTTTGGGAGTTATAAAATGACTTTCAGCACATTGAGCAAGTTTTATAAGGAAGAGATAGGGGAAGAAAGAGAAGAAATGGAATGTTGTTTCTGAATACAGCCCACACGTTTTGAGAGTCTACTTTGTGCCAGGGACCACAGAGATGAATAAGTCCTTGTCCTCAAGGAACTCCCAGCACAAATGGGCAGACAGGTATTTAAACAATTAAGTACACTCTAGTTGCGTTTCTCACAATTCCCAATTTAGTTGATAGTTTCATTTTCATTGTTTATTTGTTCTCTTTTTTCCCCTGCCCCAACCATTCTCCTCTAAGATAGTATAAAAGTTGGGAAGGGTTGTTAACAAATGTCCTAGTTTCTGAGATTTTTCAGAGTTTTTTGTTTACAAAGTAGTCAAACCTTTACGAGAAAAAATAAATTTACTACTGCTGTTCTCTCGGAAGTTTAGTATTCAGCTCCTTAATAATGCATTAGGTAGTCTGAAATGAAAATGTACTATCTTGTATGTTATCTCTCTCTGTCTGAATTGCAAGGATGTTTTGCCTTCTATACTTGGTGTTCAAAGTTCTTAATACATTCTTAATACATTTTAAATCATGACAGTTTCACTTGCCAGTTAATAAACTATGAATTTCTGTTTGGTTTAAATTAAGTATGCATTAGTTTTTTCTAAACAAAAATTTCATATCTGAGATACTCACTAAACTTGCTAAAAATATGTATTCTTTATGTGACCTCTGAATACCTTCATACTCTATATAAAAGTTTCTAGCATAGGGCATATAGTAGGCATGTTTAAGATTTTAATTCTGTTTTACTTAGTGTATAACTATAAACACAAATGCCTTTAACCCCTGATACTTCTCTTTTCTGTTTTATCTGAATACTGACCTTCCTTAAGGAGCCATAAGGAACTTAGGTTCTTCTTACCTAGATGTTAATATTTTTGTATCATTTTGTCAAATAAGTTTACAAAGACTGCACTAGTGTTTATTTTTTATCCTAAGCATCACCTGTCTTCCTTATAGAACATATTTAACCACTTTGTTCATACTAATCTAAACCTCAGATATTGAACATTGCTTAATCAATTTCCATATCATATCTTTCTCTAATCACCTTTTAAATTTATTTTTTCATATAGTTTCAAAACTAGATGGGACCTTAGAGACCATGTAGATAAACGTGGTTTTTTTTATAGCGTAGTCCATCATGAAGAACAAAGAGGTGAGTAACTTGCCTAAAGCGATGAATGTTAGTGGCAGCGCACTTTGTGGAAGAACAGGGAGAGTAGCTGTCTTTAAGTTCCTACAGTGTACAGAGTACTATAGTTTTAAATTGCTATATCCATGCTTTAAATGGCAATCTATAATCTTGTTATACTTTATATTATGGATGTATAGCAGACATATATTCTTTAATAGTTTACACATCTGTTTTCCATGCTGGACTCTTATGCGTCTCAGAAACAGAGATCGTGTATTTTATTATTTATCTGAATGTCTTCAGTACCTAGAATAGTGATTGTCTTTGAATGAATGATAGTGGCAAGTGTTTTTAGCCTTCAAGGTATGTTTACTCTATATCCTGAGTGTGACAAACTATAACTTTTCAATGATAAACATGTATCTACTATCTGTATGAAGACACAGTTGCAGAGTAGACCAGATTTATTTTTTGTGTTTTCCCAAGAGTCCATCTCTACTCCTTATACCTTACTTCCCCAGCTCCAGGGTTGCTTTCTTGCTTTCCGTCTAGATAGCTACCGCTTCCACTTCCAGGACCCATCACAGTTACTCTTTACATAATAAGGGCTAAGCTGGTGTTCAAATAAAAGTTGATGTTTTGTAGGTAACATTTTCTCTGAAAACAAAAATAATGACTTGTACACGGACTGACTCCTGTGAAATCCCCTACCATGAAGTATATGGCCTGGATATTCTGTTTTGCTACTCCTAAAAAGCAAAGCCTTGGTTCTGGCTGCTAGTTCAGAAACTTTGTACAAAGCTTTATGTCAAACAACGAAGGCCCCAAAGAAAGAAAGATGTTGCCTTTTTAGTTCTTCATTAATTGGATGAAAATTAATGCTGAATATCCAAGCCATTTATATTAGTCAGTACATTGACCAAATATTTTGACCGTAGGTCAGTAACCTGGTTGTGTTTATAGGATAGGGTTTAAACCAACATTTTGGAGGATTGATGAGTTGCTTACTGATTATGAAAATCCCTTTTCTTTATTGTAACCCACAGTTTGTCATGTAACAATTAGGTTCGGTCGAGGACAGATAATGGTGTTCAGTGTTTTACTGACATACTCCTCTTGCAGTACCTCACATTGTGGTTAGCAATGCTTCTGCCCAGTAAATCGCAGTCTTGTCCAGCAGTTAAGCTGCTGCTGGGAATTGGGGCAGAGCCTGCTTAGGCCAATATACTGTACCACCCTACTCATTTACTCCTAGTTCATTCAGTCTTTATAAGTGCCATTGCAACCAGCAGCCTTATTAACATGGTTTTCTATATTTGTTAATTATTAAATGCTGTTATGAAATAAGAGTTTTCTGAAATAAGATACTTGAAATTATGAAAGGAAAAAAAGCCAGGATAATTTAAAGTTGAACAATTTAGAGAGCATGTTATCTCTGTCATACTTGTCACATATAGTCTTTTTAAGGGTTATTGCAAACAAAAACCTAACACAGTAGTTTTTTTTTTTCTAACACAGTAGTTTTGATTCTTTAGTTTAGCAAAACTCTTAGTTGAGAAAATAGCTGTTGTGCTTAAATACTGTATGTCATTTTTTTAAATGACAGAAAAGTGCATTTTGAACTTGTTTTAATTTTATATGAAATACTAGAGGCCCGGTACACAAAATTCGTGCACTGGGGTGGGGGTGGGGTGTCCCTCAGCCTAGCCTGCATCCTCTCCAATCTGGGACCCCTTGGGGGATGTCTGACTGCTGGGGATTGGGCCAAAACTGGCAGTCGGACATCCCTCTCAGCTGGCCATCTTGTGGTGGCCATCTTGTGACTGCATGGTGGCAGCCATCTTGTGTGAGTGTGTGACGGTCAATTTGCATATTACCTCTTTATTATATAGGATGGGATGACCATGGACATTAGGGTTGTGAGGATTGGGGCAATTAGCATCAGAAGAATATCTTTGAGCCATAACTGGTTTGACTCAGTGGATAGAGTGTCAGCCTGCGGACTGAAGGGTTCCAGGTTTGATTCCAGTCAAGGGCATGTACCTTGGTTGCGGGCACATCCCCAGTGTGAGGTGTGCAGGAGGCAGCTGATCGATGTTTCTCTCTCATCAATGTCGGACATCTCTCATCGACTATCTCTCTCCCTTCCTCTCTGTAAAATATATATATATTTTAAAAGAGAATATTTTTGACAAATAGTAAATGTTATTAAATATAAAATTTGTAAATCCTACATGACTTCCTCTGATATATATATATATGCATTCTCTTTCCTACCTTCAAAGAAAATTAATTACTCCTTCCTCTCTATTACCACAGCATATAGGTCTACTAGTACAGCACTTATTCTTGTATGACAATTATCTGTGAATGTATTTCTCTTCCCATGGGTCCCCAGCAACTTGTGAACAGATGCTGTGTAACTTAGCTGTGCATTCCCATTACAGAGTGACTGGCACAGGGTAGATCCTCAGTAATGTTAGTGAAAGGAAATGGAATTAATACTTTTACTGCATGTTAGCATAGAAAAGCACCATAATTCTTGGTTGTTCTCTGAATACTGGGAATTATATATGTTATGTGTAATTGTGATATCAAAACTAGAACTCACAACTTATCTGGGAGGAGCAGACAAGTCTATTTTAACAATTAAGTGGCATTATAAAGAATGACGTTTCTTGAATCTTTACTTGCTTTCCTTCCTTTTATATGTCTATATTCTGCTGTTTTCTTTTGAGACATGTTTAAATTTATGTGTATATTCCTTTTTCTCCTTTGGTGTTCCCTTCTATTTTCAGTCATTGAACATGCTTTCCATTTTTTCTTTCTTCTTCATCTCGTTTATATTGTACGGAATTGACAGCGTATTGTCAGGGCAGACATAGTGAAGTACCCGGAAGAAGATAATCAACATTTCACCTCTGCTCAGACTAGACTCTGTTCAGTACAGTAGTGCAGGTATAACGGATAAATTACTGCATTTTCGGGGAGGAGGGTGGTGAGAACTAGTGAATGCTATCTTGTTCTTTTCCCCTTATGAATAGAGAAGTTCAAATGATGATTGTACATTATTGGAATTAATATTGCATACATCCTGTTTTAGAACTTTGAAATATTGATCCTTTGCCAAGAGACTTACGAATGAAATAAGGAATTGGGAACAAATTAAAATAACATTTCAGTTACTTTCACTCGTATTTGTCTTTATGGTTGTGTTTATTACATGTGCAGTGAAGTGGAGAATTGAGGCAGTTATTTCATTATTCATTCCTTACCATTTTTCCTGAAATAGCCTGGTAATTGAAAGAGTACTTTTAAAATTTGTCTTGAATTACTCTTCTTTGTCTGCTTGTGTGTGCAGATTTAGTAAAAGAGTTGAAAACAGTAAAGGATTTGTTTTAATGTAAATTATTATATAGAGATGAATATTAGGGCATATTGCTAAATTTATCATTATCCTTGAATGTGGCTCAGAAAGAAGGAAGGAAGAATTAAACCTATCTTTCAGTTTAAATTATTTTAAAAATATGGGTATGCAGTAATTTTCTAAATTCTCATTCTGTATTTTGTTAGTCATTATTATAACCCATTAGTGAGCAATTTGGAAGTAAGTTAGGGGTTTGGGAGGAACGTTTTAAAAATTGGCAACATTTTAAATATTGAGTTGCTCAAAACATTTCTCCTTTTCTATGTGACTTTTAACATTCACACCTCTTCTCACTAACTCACTAATTACTATAAACATTCTTTAAAAAGCTATGGCTGGGGATAGTGGTTTATGGAAGTATTAATAAATAATGACTTTTTTACTTTGAAATAACAAAATCTTGTCTATCAGTTAAACTATGTAAATGATTAATTTTAAACCTTTGCTTTAAGTGTTAACCAGGGTTTAATATTTTATATTAATTTGTCAGGTTTTTATTAGACTTGTGATAACTTCAAGCTTATGTCATAAAACCAGGAAAGACTCAATTAAGGACATGCAATTAGATACTTAAAACAAAACAAAACCCAACAACAACAAGAAAGCCCCCTTGCCCGCCAATCCCAGCTCTGCTCTAGTTTGTTCTGGTTGGTTCTTGTAATATCAGCTCCTGCTTCATTTATGGTGTCTATCATCAGGGGTTCGCCAAAGTTCAGAAAATGAAAATATACTGTAAGGAGCCCTTTCTGAATGTTCTGATGCCCTGATAATGACTCTGTTTTCTTTTATGACAGAGGGTGGTGAAGGCAGATATTGTAAACTACCACCAGGAACCCATGTCAAGACCTGTGAACACTCCTCGGAGCTCTATGTGTGCAGTTCAGTGAGCGCGTGGTCCTGTGTTGGTGTGTTGGCTGCCCTGCCTTTGTGTGGGCTGAGGACCTGGAGGAGCTGATTTATCAGGGGCCATCTCTGTAGCTCAGTTAACCCTTCCCTCCCCGCTGGCTTTCCCTGGGTGTGCTGCTCCCGGCCAGAGGCAGCTCCCGGACTGGAGAGAATTCCACTTTGGGACCACACACTTGGAATTCAGATGGAAAGCCCATTCTCTGGAGTTAGACTGCCTCATTGAAAGAGAGTATGTCCGTTCGCTTTCATGTCTTCACTTCTTTTTTCCCAGATGGCAGTTTTTTAAAACAAGTATGGAAGCTATCCAAGTCCTGATCCTCAGCCAGGATTTTGCCATAGCACAGTTTCATTCTCTTATCTGAACTCATACATGGCAAACATGCTTCAGAGTACAGACGGTTAACAAGTAATATATTTTATCTACAGATGCTAAAGAAGGCGACCTTTTGCTGTCTAACGTGAGAGAAAATATATAAAGCTGTATCTAACTGAAAATGCTGGAAATAAAGCTGTAATAGAAATATTTTTTCCATTTTTTTTAACAAAGGACCTAAACTGTTTATATTGTAACTGTAGCTCACAGAGTGGTGAGTATTGCTGTTGTACTTTATCACTGTGTCATGGTCATGTGCATTGTGGAATACTCAGATCCGATGCTGCATGGACTTGGATGGATGCATCCGAGTACCCCAGGACAAGTTAGGCCTGTTGTTGGATCATTGTGGATCAGACCTGTACCTGATGTTCAGATGTTTCTCTCCTGCAAATAAATTTATTTAAATTACTTTCTGGGAGCGAGTTTTCTTTTAGCTATCTTCCTTTTATATAGAACCAATGTGTATTTGGCTGTAACATCGGTGATCATGTACTGATTCAAGTCCAGACTCCGCAGCCTGACATTCCAGAGGCTCCACGGCAGTGTACGGCTCTCTCCCTTTCTCAACCTCTGTGCAGAGAGCCTTAGCCTCCCTCCTGTGAGCTGTGCGATGCTCTGCCCTCCTGTCTCTCTGCACAGGCTCCCCCCATCATCTGGAACCCCTCCATCCCTCCCTTCAAGTGTCTGCTTCTGCCATCCAGCCTGTGGTCACCATGAGGGAGGCTCTGTGCAGGGCACGCTTGTCTCATGTTTTCTGAGCTAAGGCGCAGTGCCTGGCCTGGTGGGTACTTAGTATTTGCCACATTGAAACGAGTGGATGCCGCCCCTCCACAGTCTCCTCATCTCCAGTCTCCTCATCTCCGCAGCCACAAGTTCCCCATGAGCACCTCTCGATGGCCATTGCCCCTGCCTATCTGAGTCACAGTCATTCGTGTCCTTGTGGTTTACTGTCTCATAGGGCACAAGCTTGCGCAGGGCGGAAAGGGTCTCAGGAGTGCCCAGGCAGGGAGCCTTTCACAGGGAGGTTTGCTAAAGTGTGTGCAGAGATTTTGGACACCCTCACTTTACAGCTGTAAGAAATTTTAGAAAAATTGTTATTTCATACCCTGTGTGACTAAGAAAACTGAAGTTTAGAGAGAAAAAACTCGCTGGAGGCCATGGAATCACAGAGCCAGACCCCACAGAAATCTCCGGTCTCTGGACCAGGGTGGCACTTGTCAGGAGTGATTTGAACTTAGCAAGTTTAGAAATTGTGACTGCTCTACTCATTAGGCAGTGGGTCCAATCCTATTCTACTTTGGTTTTTATATTTTTCAATGTATAGCAATTAGGCATCCCTTTCATATGCCTATCAAGGCTATAATCCCTTCAGGGTGGTTCAGTTTATCCTTCTCATCAACATCTCCCCAACGCTGGCTAGTCAGTTTCCAGGGAGAACGTATATTTTCTCTATCCTTCAGGAGAATACAAAGTTGGATGAAAGAGATCTCTACTCTCAGGGATCTTACAGTCCGGTAGGAGAGGTGTCTGTCTGTGTGGTTGCTGCAAAGGCTGTGCTCAGTGGAAGTCTACTGTTAAACTAAACTGCCCAGGGCCTTCCATTCAGGAAGAGGCAAGCCGTGCTCTTCTGCTCATGTGTGTTGTTTTGCATCCATGTGAAGACTTGAGGATTTTCCGCTTTCTTCAGTCCAGTCATTGCAGCATTCACAGGTTCGACTTGCTGCGCATCCCTGTGACTGCAGGTGAGTGCTGCGGGGATGCTGGGGAGGCTGAGAGAACTTGCACAAGGCCTTCGGTAGGACCAGGTGCTTCCGTGGTGTGTTTATACAGCCAGAGCCCCGAATGGAACTGGCCAGGGACGGGGGCCTGTGTAGAATCGCTCTGTCCTGGGCATTGCTAGGCATTGGACACATGAACTATGTGTTTTCTCCTTCAAACCTATGACAGGGGTAGCCTTGTCCTCATTTCACACACGGACACCAAATCTGAGAGTCTGTGGTACCACCAGGTGCCTCCTGGAGTCAGAGGTAGAGCCGGGATCCACACAAACCAGTTCTGAGATAGGACGAAGGAGGCTGGGTGCCGATCAGGCTGCCTTCCTTTGGTGAAGATCACACAACCAGCCTCCTTCCTGGGACCCTACCAGGCCTGGGTGTTAAGTTGTTCTTTTGGGAAGTGGTGATGGCTCTGCGGAACCAACCACCATCTCCCACCACCGACCACCTAGACCAGCAATGGGTGTCCAGAGTCTGGTGGGGGTAATTTTGCCCTCTGCTCACTGAGGTGAGGATGGAAACGGCCTCCTTCCCCCCTCACCTTTGGCCTCATTGGTTTTATGTCTCTCCCAGCTATACTTGCCTGGGCATTGAGACCTTCTGTCTCAAGGACAGCAGGCAGAGAGAACATGCAATATAGCATATGGCCAGAGCAGACTATTCCATATTACAATTTTCCCCATACCTCGGGTTTTATTTTGAAACAAAAACGTGGGAGTCATGCTTATTTTACTTTGTTACCTCTCCTGTCTACAGTTTTTAATTTAAAAAATTACACGTCTTTCCAGCTTGTTTTAGGTACTTTGTCTCCTGAAGCATGCTATAGAGTTTCAAGCTCATTGTGGTCACTTCTGCTGCTTATTGAACTTTTGAAAAACACAAAAGTTTTCAGCCAGAACTGGTCATTGGATGTTGCCTTTCAAGTGCACCCTCTATTATGTGTGGCGAACCGCTGCGGAGTGGTTTTTGGAGTGGCCCAAAGAACTCCTGTGACTGCTTTATTATTCCAGGAGGAGGTAAGCCAGGGCCCTTTAAAGTCGATCACTGAAACAATGTAAGGGAGCATAATAATTTGTGTGTCATGTAAAAATAGAAACCTTTTCTGGCCATACCCATGCTGGTGATTGCTGTGATGTTGGACAGCCTGAAAAGCAGTTGCAAGATTCAAAGGAAATGGAAATGCAGACCCGTGGAGCATTGTGGTCGCATCTGTCCGCTGCCTCCCCAGCCCCCAGGTCGCCACTGCTCCCAACAACAGTGCCCCCTCTTCCTGCTGGAGCCCTCCATGCTCAGCCACTCCTGGCCTCAGGGATGGGCTCAGAACTGAGAGAATAGGTCCATGAGAGCTAGTGTAACCAGAGGGGACATTTGCTGACTTCTGAAATAGGAAAGAGAAGAGAGGAAGAACAATAGCTTCTCTCCCCTGAAGTCCAGATGACTGACTATTGGGCTTGAATGAGAAAGACTGGCCCTGGGCAACATTGGCAGCCACCTTGGGGACACAAGGAGGCCGGGCCCAAGCCCAGAGCTGAGCCAGGGAGGCAGAGGGGAGAGGTGGAGGGAATCCGGCCCCTGACTCAGCCCCAGAGCCCACCATGCCTCTGGACCTGTTTAACAGCGTAACTGGGTTGTTTCTTTAATCCTTTCGACCAGGGTTGGTTTATTTATTTTTTGTTACTTCTTACATAAGACCATTATGTATCAGGGTTTGCTTGGCACCAGACAGGTGATCATGATCTGTGTTTTGTCCCCAAGATCTTAGTCTAGACACATGTATAACCCAGCGACAGGTAATCAGACTGTTGTTGCCTCAGTGAAACTATACTGTAGGAAAGGTGTGGCTTAGCAGTGAGTGTGAAAACATGGGTTTCAGAGAACTGGAGTTCGGGGGTCACCAGTTAACATAATTGCCTCAGAAGCTCATGTAATCTTAACCAGATAATGCAAACAAGAGTCTGTTCCCTGAGTTGGTCTGTGCATGTGAATCACCAGGACAATCTTGACTCATTAGATCCCAGGTCGGATTTGAGATTCTGCATTTATAAAAAGTTCCCACGGGCTTTTGCTGAAATTAAGAGAAAATGATTTGACCAACTTTTTCAGACAGCAGAATCCTGGTGTTCAAGCGAGGCCCTGGGGACACGCAGTGCCTACGGACAGTGTCTGCCCACATGTTAGTGGGGTATCATGGCATCCTAGGCTGCAAGAGAGAGTCCATCCTGCAGACAATGTACGGGCGCTGAGGGCAGGTCAGTCCTGCCCAGACAGGGCTGAGGGATTGTCAGAACAGATTTGACTGGGCAGTGAGGCTGGACTGACATCCTTGAGTGAGACCAGCCTCCCTCCTGACGCCCGTTCTGGGAAGAGAGGCTTTCAGCAGAGCAGGGCCTAGGGCTGTGCTCGGAACTGCATGCATTCCACTTGGGCTGGCCCTTCTCAGCTTCAGTTTTCCACACTGGAGAGCTGGGAACGAAGAGAGGCAGACTATTTGTTTTAAAGTTCTGCTTCCAAGTCATGCCGCATGTTCTCAGGCCTCCCACACCATAGACAGAAGTCGGCTCAGGGCTGGAGGTCAGGCCGAGGGAGGCAGATGCATTGCACTGCACAGATACCAGCTCGGCCAGCCACTCTGGCCTGAGTGTGCTGGCTCGGCCGCCTAAGCCTTCACTCATCTGCATCCCCGGACTGCTCCTGGGTGGGCTCTCGGCCACGGTGTCTCAGTCTCCTCTCCACATGGCTGCCCTCTCCCCCTGCTGTGCAGATCGCTCCAACTGCCTGCCTTCTTAGACACCTCCACATTCAGTTGCACACACAGCCCTGAGAGTGAACTGGACCTGAGGGTTTGAATTAAGTCATGCTTGTTCCAAACCCCCAGTGGCTCCTCGTGTCCTTTTCCAGCAAAGAAAATGACTTCCTCAGCCTGAAGTGTAGGATCCTCCTGCTGCTTCCCCATCCCTCCTTCTGAGACATCTGAGTGTCTTCAGTGCTGGTGACTTCTTTGTTCTGGCCAGCGGTCCCTCACTTCTGTGTCTCTGTGGACCTCCTCCAGGGAAAGTGGGGCCTGAGGAGGCAAATTTAGGAAACCTGCCTCTCCCCTGGGCTCAGAAACCCATTGGCTGGATGACTAGTCTCACTGCTTACTGTCCCTGGGCTGTGTCCTGGGCCTGGTGCTGGGGAGTGGTCACATTTCCTTTCTCAGCCCCACGCTGATGGAAGCAGGGCAGGGATACCAAGCTCTTCCTAAACATCTCACATCCCACATCCGATGCACACGGTAGGCAGCCTGGGATCCTCTCCCGTGGCGTTCACACCCAGCACTGTCCCCTCTTACATCGAATCAGGGCGAACTATGTGACCTACAGAATCTGCAGACAAGATGGGAGGCATTTCCAGGTGAGGTCATTAGAGACGTTGCAGCCTCCACATGAGTCCCTCAAATTCCTCCTGGGGGAAGTAGACCCCCGTCACGGGGGCAGTTCATTCAGTAGCCACGTGGAGAGAGCCACCTGAAGAACACATCCCGCCAGCACCCAGCACCCCATGCCAACCCACCTCTGTGGCAGCGTGGGCACGAATCCCCTGGCTTTTCATTGGACTGCAGCCTCACCAGAGGCCTCAAGCTAGGAGCACTCAG